AGAGGGAACCAAATGCAAGTATCTATATGTGACCTCCTCCCTGGGGGACGGACAACAGAAAAGTGGGTGAAGGGAGACGTCAGACAGGGCAAGATATGACAAAATAATAATTTATAAATTATCAAGGGCTCATGGGGGAGAGGGGAGCGGGGAGGGAGGGAAAAAATGAGGAGCTGATGCTGGTGGCTTAAGTGGAGAGCAAATGTTTTGAGAATGACGAGGACAATGAATGTACAAATGTGCTTTACACAATTGATGTATGTATGGATTGTGATGAGTCATATGAGCCCTAATAAGACGATTAAAAAAATTTACAGTCTCAAACACTCACAGAGGCAGTTTTGCCCTGTCCTATACAGTCGTTAAGAGTTGGCATCAGCCCTATGGCAATGAGTTTGGTTTGAGTTTCTCTTTAACACTTTTAAGTTTACACAATAACACTAGGAAACAAAATCACAAGGACAAGGTCAGCACCGTGCAAATAGAGCATACAGTTCCACTTACATATGCAAAACATAATCCAGTGCTACACGAGGCACTAAAGTGAGGAAGCAAAGAAGCAAAAGAGATGACCTCTGTCAACAAGGGGACCCAAAGGCAGTCAAGAGAGATCTTGGAGCCCTTGAAGTTCTAATAATTTGGATTTCTGACTGCCTGAACTTCTTTGCTAGCTTTAAGGATTTGCTTATCAGCAGCATATCGCTGAAATTATTGTTCCAGAAAATAAATAAATTTAATCAGCAAAAGGTGCCTGAATACTTCTTGTGATTTCATTTTAATCTAAAGGAAACTGTCTTGGTCTGAGATAGACTTACTTGCAGGTAGTTTATATGGGGCCAAACACTGGGACAGGGGAGTAAGGATGAGGAAGCACCAATTCCTGAACACATTACTGAGTTAGCCGCCCCATGGATGAATGGTGCTCCATCCTAAGAACTTTCTGAAGAGCCTTATGAACTCTCCAAATTGTCTGCTCCAAAGGAGGAGAGGGAGACGCGGTCATCCATATGCACTTCTGAATCGAGCATGGGAGCATTCAGAGCATGTTCCTGCGGGTGCTGCATGCTACAGCATCAGAGAAACCCTGAGACAGCTGACAAGGGATACATAGCTGGGTCCTGAGAAAAGATACTGCCAGGTAGCTCATACCTGAATCTGGTAAAGCGTCTTAGCTTAAGTACAAGGTAGAGCTGGGAGGTGTTCGATTCAAAACTATTATCTACAGTTTGATGGGCATCTGACCCACCACACATAGTTTTTAAAAACACAATTCAGTCACTCATTCATAAACACATTCAACAAAATGTCTTGTCATCAACAGTATGCCAGTCACGGAGCTGGGTTAAGGGTTTGGACAAAACAGATACATCCTTTGCTCTCCTGGAGCTTATGGTCAGTTAACTTGGGTGAACCAGGCTACCAGTAAATTATTCTAAAATGATTATTGAATTACAATTGTAACTTCTGACGGAGAAGCGTAGCCATGAGAGGCAGGGAAGGTTTCCCTAAGGAAGTAGCATTTAAGCTCAACCTTAGAGTATAATGAGTAGCTGGGAAAGTAAAGCATAGTAAGGGAGGTTGTTGTCGACAGAAAGACAAGCCTTCACAAAAACCCTATGATCGGAAAACTTCAACTGCCCTCAGTGTAAAGCCAGAAAGGCAGTAGAGTCAGAGTGGGGTAATTGAGGGTGATATGAGGGGTAAGTGGAGGCAGGAGCCAGTGGAAATGTTCAGAAGAGTCTCGAGGAGAGAAGCAACACAATCAGATTTGCACTTTCTTTGTACATGCTAGTCAGATGTGTGTGTAAACACAAGCAGCAGCTCATGTGTGTCTCACAGGTATTAGAAACTGAGAACAGCCTGTACGCCCCACCAAGTAAGCGCACAAACAAAACCAGAAGTGTAGAAGTGTTGCATGGTGGGAACAGTGTGTGTGTGTGTGTGTGTGTGTGTGTGTTGGGGGGGGTTAGAACAGGCAGTGAGGGAGAGGGGGATTAAAGCTGGAGTCTCGCCAGGCAAGCCTGGTGCACTTTTTTGTTTGTTTTTAAAGAGGAGCTGTTCATCTGATTTGACGCCAAGATAGCGTTCAGGTAAGCCGAGATGAAATCCCCATTTAAAACTCTCCTCCTTGTTCAAAAACTTCAAAGAAAATTTCTTCTCAAATTCTCACCAAGATCAACCTCATGTGGGTGGTGTTGGGGACCACCTACAGGGTGTAATTTGAGAGTTGTTAAAAGACCCCTACTTCTGCTCCATGTAAATATTTTGGATCCTATCCCTACTACCTAAAACTCAACCATCAGCATGTTTAGTTGGTTGAGATTTTGATTTCCAAATATGCTTGGGCCTGGCAACAGACTGGCTCTGTTCTGCCTTCCTTGGACCAAACTGGTTTGTGCTTTTCCCAAAGATGGGAAGGGGCGGTTGACATGTTTTGAGACCACGGCTGGGCCATGCAGATGCCTGGAGAGTCCATGAGGCAGAGTCAAAGGATCCAAGCAAGTTAATGCATCATTTTGGCTTGAATTGCCCATGGGCTCAGCTGGTGTGTACCATAGAGCTCGCATATACAAATGTGAGAGGAGTTATACAGGAAAGAGACATGGGTGAACATGTGGCATCTACGTGGCTTTATAACATAGGAAGCAAGAATAGCATAAAGCAGAGTCTCTGGGATTGGACCAGGCCAGGTTAAGAATCTAAGTTTTGTGACCCCAGGAGAGTTACAAATGTACCTTATCCAGTGTTAGCAGGATGCAGTGAGATCACCTGGTAAAAGTGTAGGCATGGATCTACCGCATAGAGCAAGTGGCCCATAAACCTTGTGGCCACTAAGGCTATGTGAGTGATTGTGACTCAGTGTGTGTGTGTGTGTGCGTGTGCGTGTGCGTGTGCGTGTGTGTGTGTGTGCATGCGTACGCGTGTGCACATGCAGATGTGGGAAGGTAAGATAAAAGGCACGTATGCACGAGTGAGAGAAGCAAGGCGGAGGGATGTTGCCATCTCAGCATGAGCTCCAGCACTGTGATGGTCCTTTCCAGAGTGAGTGGGGAAGGACAGCTCACAGAGGTGCCTGGGCTTAGCTCTGCTAAATGGGAAGCAGAGGAAGGGGACAGCAAAGGGCCTCAAACTACAAGGGACTTCCTGATGGGCACTGAATCAAGGGTGGAAATTAATTGAAGGAGACAGGCAGACGGAATGGGATGTGATTTTGTTGAAGTTCAAAAAACCTTCCTTTTTAACAAAAGGGAGTGTGTGTTTTTAAGTGAGTTGAAAGTGGTCTCTGAAATGGAAATGTACCAAAAGTAGGCCTCAGAGAGCCGAAGAAGACGACTCCAGCCTGCTCCATCCAGAAGCTGTGCTCTCCGTGTTGTGAACTGCGTGCACGCCGGGATTTTCAGAGCGGGCATGGAAGACCTGAGAAACCGTGTAACCCGCGGAGCTCTTGGGCCTCTGTAGCCCCCACTGTGTCCATGTGTTTCCGGCAGAATAAAGAGTCATCGTTCCCAGGTTGAGAGCGAAGAAGACAAAGTAAAAGGCACATCCAGTTCCTCGTCCCCGCTCTGTCCACAGCTCACTGGGTCATGTCAAGGGACCTCTTCATCTCCCTGGGCCCTGCTGCCTCATTAGAAAAGAAGTTTCCTGATATCCTGGATGAGGTCTAGCTCCCTTGAACTATCTGTATTCCTCTTAACGTTCTACCACCAAGCAAGATACTTAAGAACACGAGCCAGCTGCCTTCTCCTCGCTGTGACTCCTGGGATCGTTCATCTCTAGCTTGGTCCTCTGGCCAGTGAAGTGAGGGTGAAGACGAGTATAAAGCAGGTCGTTTCAAGAGATTCAATGGGTGCAAAGGGAATATAGGTAAACACTCAGAAATGTGCTTGGCACAGACAGGGGGAAAGGCTGCCTCGATGCTTCAACAACCTACTCTAATTGAATACCTTTATAATGTGTATGCAGTGTATTGTTAACAGTCAAGAAATAGCAGGATTACCTGTGGATGTCAGATGCTCTCCAGCTGACCCTATGTGACAGAGTAGAACTGGCCCCATGGGGTTTTCTTGGCTGTCATTTCTCTGGGAAGAGGGTCACCAGGTCTTGGTCCAGCAGTGGTGCTGGTGGTCTTGTCCTGAAGTAGTATGTACAAATATGAAAAGACTGAAGTAGGCAGGGGATAGGGGGACAGCTGGAGACCATGGTTTTTGCCTTTAAAAGCTCTCTGTACGCTGGGGATTTTCAAGGATATGTGTATGCTAAGGAGCCGTGATGGGTCATGGGTAATGCTTTGACCTGCTAACCATAAGAACAGCTGCTCCGCTAGACTCTGCAAAAAAGGTCCAGTCTGGGAAACCCATAAGGGCAATTGAAGTCCAACTTGACTAGATGACCATGCATTTGGGTTCTGTTTTATGCATGTCCTACTATAACACCTTTTTTTTTTAAGAGATTGAACAAGTAAGTTACTAAAGGCCCCCTCGCCTGGGAATTCAGGACCATGTCGCTTTGTTTTGTATTTTGAAGAAACAGAATTTTTTAGGTAGCCTGCCTATTATTATTATTTATTATTATTACCCATTTCAGGAAATCTTATGAAGGTTTAAAATAGGCACAATCACGTTGGCATGTTCATTACTGAATGTGCTTGAACTTCTTGGGTAAGATGGCCCGGTGGGAGGGGGCAGGGGGGCAGTCAAGGTGGAAGTATAAACTTTGTAAACACTTGGCCTCAGAAACTGGCTTACATTTTTGCCTCTTGTGATCTTTTCCCAGAAATCAGCCGGTTACATAAAGCCAGAATCTGTAGCACGGAGTAAACTCCTCCTCAAAGGAAGGAGATTAAAAAAAAAGTTCCGCTGGCCGGAGGCAGCTCAGCAGTGAAAGCGTTAACAGGGCTGGGTAAGGCGATCCCTTGAAATGAGTAAGACTGGGGTGGTTAAAGTTTTCCGCGGTGGCGGCTCCGGGAAAGGAGGGCGCTGAGCGGAGGAGCTGAACTCAGCCGAGGTCACCAGCGCAAGGTTAGTGGCGCCGCACGCTTTCGCAGCCCACCAGGTGGGGAACTTTACCCAGGTGACATGCGTCTCTCATCTCTGCTTGTTTATGGAGGGGTCCCCGGCCCTTGGCACTTTCCAAGTGGCCCGGGCTGCTTCAGCAGCCCAGCCTTGATACTTGTGGGCAAGGGCTGGTTTCTTCGGAGTGGCCCCTTGTCCCCTGGAAGCTGCTTTTCAGACATCAGTCAGGAGGCTTTGTGAAGTGGAGACTGCACACACCTGTATGTTCTTCTCCATCCTGGCTGGTCTCTCCGGAGGAGACCTTTGTAAACGGCAGGCTTCTTTTCAGACATCCATAAGGAAACATTGTCAAATAGGGATTGTGTACACACACACACACACACACACATTCCGCTCCATCCTGGCAGTTTCTCAGGAGGAGACTTTTGTAAAGGGAGGTTTCTTTGCAAACATCCAAAAGGAAACTTTGTGAAACTGAGATTACACACATCACACACACACACACACACACACACACACACATCTATATGTTTGGCTCCATCCTGGCTTTTGCAAGTTGTGGCCATAACTCAGAATTCCAATCTACTTCAGGTGAAACCGAGAACAATTGTCAAAGTAACTAAACAGGCTGTGCGGCTTTACCTTGTGGGAGGAATATGGTCTCTGAGGCTGTTGAACATGATCGGGTGAGTAGGAAGGAAGAAAGGAAGGAAGCGAGGTGTTGCTGAAGAGGGAAAGAAGAGAGGGGAAGGGAGGAAAGGAGAGTAGAAGAAAGCAGAGGGGTGGCGGAGAGCTTCCAGGTGCCCCAGCAGCGGTAGAACAAACAACCGAGGCAAAGGCATTTCCAGTAGAGCTTTTTCTTGTGAGTTGTTAAAAACAATGGGAGGGGAGACTGGTGTGAAAGAGGTAGCCCCTCTGTAGACAGACTGAAGTGATGCAGATGACAGACCAGCCCAGAAAACAGGAGCCGGTGGTATCCTGACAGACCTGCCCGTCAGCCTAAGGGGTTTGGTTTGAGAGTGAAGACCATTGTCCTAGTGCCCTGGAGCCCCATGCAGCCCAGGCTGGCATACAGGCATGGGGGTGCCACTTCCACAGGCCACGTTTGCCTCTGCTGGTGCCTGCCACACAGAGAGAGAGGCAGCCAGGGGCTGCAGCTCTGCAGGTTCCCTGATCGCTAGCAGGAGTGGGTCCTGTACCTGCAGCACTGAATCAGAATGAGTCATTGGAAACTTGGGTGCTGGTACTTGCAAACTGCCTTATGAGACACTGCCTCCATGTAGGTGGGATATACATCTCAGAACAGTCCCATGGTTTGCTTCCTTCCCTTCTCCTTCACACAGGCAGGGAGCCCGATGCTCTCCAGCGAGACCGGCTCGGCCCCTTTGGCTCGGCTCAGCCTACCATGTGGACTCTGCCCCTCCAGCGCAGGACTGGGGTTTTAAAATAAAATGGATGATTTGACGTTACTTGATCTTCTGGAGTGTCCCGTGTGTTTTGAAAAGCTCGATGTCACAGCCAAAGTCCTCCCCTGCCAGCACACCTTCTGCAAGCCATGTCTCCAGAGGATTTTCAAGGCCCGCAAAGAGCTGAGGTGTCCTGAATGCCGGACCCTGGTCTTCTGCAGCATCGACGCGCTGCCGGCCAACCTGCTGCTGGTGCGGCTGCTGGATGGCGTGCGCGCTGGGCAGAGCTTGGGGCGCGGGGGCTCCTTCCGCAGACCTGGCGTGCTGACCTCCCCGGAGAGCAGGAAAAGCAGGACCCACCCCAGAGGGCTGCAGTCCAGCCCTTTCCGACTGGTGCCCAACATCAAGTTCCACATGGATGGGGTAAGAACGATCTTGTTGATTCGTGCCGTGTCCGTGCGAACCTTGGCTTTGTGCGTGCTAGCAGCTAGATGGAACTTGCTTTGGGGGGACGGGGGTGGGGGGTGGGGGAGGGTGACATTTCTAAGCGCTCTCGATGGCTCCCCCAGAAGCAGTTTGTTTGCGGTGGAACCTGAGCCTGTACCCTCCTGCAAGCTGAACTGACTGAAGCTCTCTAGGTTCCCCGGCTTCTGGTCTCTCCCCTCTCCTGTTCTTGGGTGAAACCAGCACGTGGGGAATGCACGCGTGGGAAAGGAGAACACTAGCCCAACTGCGCCTTGCTGTTGCGATCTCGGAGAGGTTCCCGATTTCAAATTGTGTTTGAATTTCCCCCAATTCCATTTCCCCATCCCCCACGTAAGGCACGATTGTGGCCATGCTCATTCATCTTCTGAAGCTATCAAGCTAGTTGACACCTTCAGAGGCTGAGAGGGGAGTCGGCGGTGTGGGTGGACTGCCGGGTGGCAAAGCCTGGGCCGGGAAATACAGCAGAGGCGAATAGCAGCCGGCAGATATGTCTTCCTGTGCAAAGTGAATCGAGGGGCATGTGGGCGCCCATCAGGGGCTGCAGTCCACACGGGGAAACAGCCATGCCACACAGAAGATGGCTCTCAGGGTCATGGCTCCCAGTGAGACGCTTAGTGTTTAAACCGTGGAGAGTCCCCCCTCCCTCGCTTGTTGAGCACTGCTTTGGAAGAGTCTATCTGAAGGGAAGGACATGGTCCTGGGGTGTTATTTGCACCGTCACCCCTGGAATCAATGAGCCCCTGTAACTGTTGGAAGCTGTGGTCTGGGCTGTTGCGTATCTAGAAAATCAAAGCTCCATTCCGTGACATCTTACCAGTGAGCGAGCTTTAATGTGGAGGCAGCATCCAAGGACACCGTGCATCACGCGTGTATGAGGGGGTGGGGGGCAGGCAGGTAGTCTCCTGAGGATTCCTCTCCACTCTGGAGAATGGGTGTGTGATGCACACTCAGGAGCCGTGTTTGAAAGGTCCCTTCCAAAAAGTCAACCTTTTTCCAACTAGCCACACTGAGGGGTCACCCGTGTGGTGGAGGGGTGCGTGGACATGCCGAACTGAGCCAGAAGAACGGGACATCGGTGTGGTCCTCTTGGCTGCAGGCTCTCGGTGGCTGTTGTGCTTCTGCGTGCGATACACATTTCAGCAAAGGGCTTGGTCCTCTTCTTTGACTCTCTAGTTCAGTCATCAGGCAGCACCCACAGACCTGGGAGGGGGGAGAGGAGGCCAAGCTTCTCAAGCACACCTTGTTTATAGAGAAGCTGGCGCTATCTCCGGTCACCAAATCCCCCTTTGGATTCCTGAAGGTCCAGTTCTGTCTCCCCTCCCCAACGGCTGCAGAAGCCAGACTCGCTGCCTTCCAGAGAAAGCATCATTACTCATGAAGGAAATGTTGCCAGGCTGTCAGGAGACAGTGTCCCTTATCCCCTTCTGATATTTTTGTTCACGTTTTCATCTTTTTTTCGATGTGGCTTTCTTGCTAAGAACAGGTTGCACTGAGTGGCTCTAAAGAGAGTACGTTTTTGAAACAGAGAGGACTCCTGGGGTCCTCCTGGCACAAGGAGCTGGTGGGGGTAGGAGCTGGACAGACATAAGAGACAACCATTAAGATACTGTGTGTCCCTGGAACTCTTCCCCAGGGACTTGGAACATCGGACCCAGGTGCCGGTGCTGGGTTTGTGCCCGTCCTCCGAGCTGCCCAGAATCAAGTCCTGCCAGGAGGTCGAAGCGTGGAAGCACATGGTTGAGGGCTCCTTCTTCTCAGCACGACAGGATACTAACTAGACTCCTCTGTGAAAGAGCAGAATTGAGATGAGGCAGCCCACCACCGGCAGCCCCGGGTGCATTCATCTCCTGCATCTTTCTTTCCTGTGGTGGCTCAGCTCCTCCCTCTTTTGCATTTTAGTTTTGTCTCTTTCAGCCAGAATATGAATAACCCCTTTCTTGAGTGTCAATGTCACTCTGCAACCTGTTTCCCCCAAATGTAACTATCCTCCCTGTAAGTGTGAAAGCGGCTCTATATCACTTGGGTAGAGAATTGAGGATTGTCTGGAACGTGCCATATCATTATGAGAGTCAGAGGAGTGGACTTACAACTCGGTCAAACCCTCCCAAGTGACTGGCCCTCTCTGCCTCCGTGTATCCAATCAGGTCCACAGGAGAGCTAATCACTCTTGGTGTCCTTCCAGGAGATGGTGACAATTCTCTTTGTGACATACGTGTATCTCCTTAGGAAACCGAAGCTCTGCAAAGGCAACACCTCAGCATGATTACTACTTGAAATGTGCTGTGTCTTCGGGCAGGCCATTTAAGTTTGCTGGGTCTCCATTTAAATTCTGTAAAATGGGAAATTGTATTGTAAAACCAGAGAGCCTTCGCGAGACTGACCTAATGAGTGTTTGCAGCACACTTTGAGATCCCTAGATGAAAAGCGTTTGGAAGATCATCATCAGAGTAAACATTATTATTGACCACTTATTGTGACCTGCCATGCATGAGACATTCTACAAAACACAGAAGGAGATGGTAATAGGTATTATTATTTAACTTGAGTCTATGATGAATCCTGGCCTGGATAATACTCATTGTAGCATACCCTCCTCCGAGGGGAGAAATCACCTGTTGTGGTAAGTACCATTTTGTACAACACCTCTTCAGGGAGACATGATGATAACCTGGCACTTGAGAAGAGTTCATTTTGAACTTCCATCCAGAGTTTTTTCAGCGCAGAGACGTTGTACTCGCCTAAAACAAAAAAACTAGATCATCAGGATCTTTGTGTTGGCTCAAAGAGGCTTGATGTTTCTTCTTGTGCCAGCCAGTATGCTAGGGTGGAACCAATAGTCACACCTCCTGGTGCCCGCCCAAGAGAGAGAGAGAAAATAGCCCATTGTGCCTACATGTTGAAAACCCTCCCAAGTTGATTATGGAGAAAGAAAACTTGAGAAATGGCTGTAGGCTTCTACCCCATTAAATTTTTTCAGACCAACAGGTAAGAGCAACGGACTCCTGGAAGGGTCCCCAGCAGCACAAAGTCTAGTGATTCTCTTTCTTTCTCTGGGTGCGGCCAAGCCAGAGGAGCTTTGCAAGCCTTTCAGAAGATGAGGGATTCCTAAGTAGCTGCTCTCTCTTCCCCCTCACTCTGTTGCCCTCTAGTAATAATTCTAAATTCAGGCAGGCAGTAAAGCAGAGAAGTTGGCAGACTTAGGCTTGGGAATGCTAGACTCCCAGGCATAGCTCTGCCTCTCAAAAGTTATGCACTTAGAGCTCAGGACCTCCATCTCTCATCTGGAAACTGGAGATAGCAGTTGAACCTACCTCACACAGTTGTGGTAAGAAACAAATAAAATGATAGATGCATGTCAATTATCTCTTAGCACAGTGACTGGCTCAATAAATGTTAGCTGCTATTATTATTGAATTGACTCAACACTTTCCTATATAAATAACATCCCCTTTGGGGGCGCCTTTGTGAATCAGTGTCATCCAGAGACGGTCCTTAGCACCCTGAGTTCTGGTTTGTTTTGTTTGCTGCCTGTTGGGGATTGAATGGTGACCCCTACAGATAGATGTGTTATAAATCCTACCTTTACTCCTGTGGTTAGAATCCCGTTTGGGAATGGGTTGTGTTTGTTAGGGTCATGAGCCAAGATTGTGTCGGGTGTGCCCTGAATCTGCAGTCGCTTGAGATGTAAAATAGATTCAGAAGCACGTGAAGGACAGATGCAGTCAGCTAGGTTCTGGGACACCCAGAGATGCTGAGGAACCAGGACGCCAAAACTGAAGAGACAAGGAGTTCCTCTAGCGGCAGGACTCTGAATTCAGACTTCCGGCCTCCTAGAAGGTGAGAAAAGAAATTTCTGTTTGTGACAGCCACTCATTTGTGGCATTTCTGTTATACTAGGGAACTAAGTGAGTCAGCATTAGAGAACTAAGACATCTCCCGGTGATCCTGGGCCATGATGTCAGATGCGTGGTCCTTCCCGGTAGGCGCTGGCTTCACAGCTCACTTCCAAGAGCCCGCAAAGGCCTAGGAGTTGATGCTAAGAAAACTTCTTAGTTAACTTCACTTCTCCAAAGAGCAACCTCAATGGAAAATGATATGCAGATGCTATAATTGTATAAAATGACATACGATTTTATAAAATTAGGTGAAGAACAAGATCCTGGTCCATGTCCCCAGGATACAGAGACTTCTTCATCACTGTCCCTTTCTCTCTCTTGTCGTGTCGTTCAGGCTCCCCAACCCAAACGCGGCGGCCCAGGGTCTCACAGCGCTTGCCTGCATTCTGCCGAGCACAAGCATTCCTATCTCCCTGGCTGCATCGCAGCCAGACACACCTGCCACCTCCAGCAAGCACATGGACCAGCTGGCTTGGTTCTAGAAACTTTTTCAGCTGGTGTTGCGAGCAAACGGGGGGGTGGGATGGTGGAATGAGCTCAGAAAGCACATCAGGGACTTGAAACTGCATCACAACCAGAAGGTGAGCTGACTCTTCCCAGGTCTCAGATGGTGTACGTGTGACAGATCTGCGACACAGACAGTGGATTTTGCTAAGTTTGCAGGGGAGAACAAGATCATTCCCAAGTCTCTGAGAACAGGAGGAAGGTGCCACCCGAAACAGCCAAGAGCATCTGGGGCAGGTGGAGGAAGACATAAAGGCTGAGGGTGAGAAGTCAGGGGAGGCAAATGGTTCCCCAGCGTCACACACATTTGCAGGCCTTTCTCAAAACCACATGGTCTAAAAATATCAGTGCCCCTCCATCTCCCTCGGATAGGCCTCCTTCCTGGCTCTTAAAGCCCTCTCGCTTCTCTGCTCACAGCAGTGCTTTATGAGTTGGTGGTCAAATGCAGCTGAATTTCTGTTGAGAGTCAATCTTTTGTCAGCTATCAGGCTTTGGGCAAGTCTCCTAACCTCTCTGACCTTCTTTCCCTTATTTGTA